TTACGACTTTCTAACAGGTCCCGATTTTCCCGACTTTGGGTCATTGACCTGACCTGGAAGGTCGCGCAATGACCTAGGACCTTAAAATTGGGTATCATCGGCTTCCTCTCGTCACGGGCAACACGCTCGTTTTTTCCGCGAAGCTCTAGCTCGATCAGGGGCCAAACGGCAAGGGGGGGGGGGGTCCAACCGACCCCCCCTACACATTAGAAGCTGGCAAACGCCGCACACATGCGAGGGTTAAGTTGAAAAGGGACTTGTTCAACCCCATGTTAGGGCATGCAACTCTTGGGTGCAGCCCCAGCGGAACATAAAATCGATAGCATTTTTTTTTGCGCACAGGTTCTTGATAAAGTCAATGTTTGTGTTCTGTAAACACCCTTTGTCTCACAGTCACAAATCACGTGGCACTATACATGTTGCATATCATATGTGTGTTATGTCAATGTGTACTTACTGTCCCAGCACTACTATGACTTATGACACACGGGCGTATGTGATTGTAAAATATGCATAAATACGTGAACGCGTCATATGTTTATACTGGGGGTCGATAATCGATAGCCGGGATGCCGCGGCGTGGTTCTTGGTTCTGGGAATCTGGCCTTCGTTTTAACAACAGAGGCTTCGTCGGTTCCTGTCAGAAGTGAGGACGACGGTGCCCGCCCACACGGATATATGAGGCGCTCCCTATATGAACCGAGGACGACGGTCCGCCGCCCACACGGGTAGGATTTATTCGCGGACTGGCAGTCAGCGCCGGGTGCACATCCATGGTGCTTAGGTTAGGCGGCGTGTGAAGCACGCTAGCCCAGACGTCGTTGTCGGGATAAAGAGATCGACAATCGACATGCATTGATAAAACTAGCAAAGAACAACGACCGTCCACTGTTTCGAGCTTCATGACGATATACGGCGCCGCCCTCGCGCGGCCACAGGACAGATGTCGTTTTCGAAGGGAAACCCTTCCGTAGGTGCTGATGTGGTTATTACGTTTACCGGGCGTGTTGGAAGGGTACGACCGACATGTTCAAAGCGACGAAATAGCAAGCTATCGGTAAAAAAGAAACAGTCAAGAAGAAGTGTTGTAGATAAATGCGAAGTAACCAGTCATTAACTACGTATACACAAGAACTACGAGTATTTCCAGAAACATAATAATGGAATATGTCTGTGCTTATCTACCTACATGTATGATACAGGCGGTCGAGCGAATTACGTATATGACTGATTGCCCATAAAAGCCAACTAATACAGGCACAGATTACACAACTACGAGGAAGCTCACATGTCATATTAGCATTAGGGTGAAAAGCAGAAGCGCTATATACACTATACACCAGCGGACATGTATCGTAGGAGCTGCACCTACATTACAGGTTAGACGACCACTAACCTGCGCGCGCGCCGTCCGCGGTGCCGGCTGCAGTGCCGCGCCCGGCGCCCACTCGACCGGAAGCCGCCTTCTCGGCCATAGAGCCGGGTCTGCCCCGATCAGCGCAGGGACTCAGCAGACTTAGAGCTTACCAGATTTAAGTGATTGTTTGCTTTACGACGTGCCAAATGGTCGGATCAGACTCAACGAAATCTTCGGATCGTGTTCAGCTCGGGATCTGTGGGGTTCAGGGTGTACCACACTCACAGGGCAGCACGGTTCACCACCGGCCGGCCACCGACGGCCGACCACCGCCCACACACAGCCCGCCGACGCCGACGGAGTCAGCCGCCGCCACCCCCCGACCCATCCGCGCCGTCGCCATTGATCAGAGCGGGCGGCGCCAGTGACATCTGACGAGCAGCATCGAAATCTGTAGTTGACCTTGCAACCGCGTGACTTATATTTAGCTAGCTGGGGTTACGGACAAAAGTACGTATCGCTAAAGTACGTAGGACAAAAGTACGTAAGCAAAAGTACGTAGGATTAAAGTACGTATCGCAGAAGTACGTACAGTATAAAGTACGTATGGACAAAAGTACGTCAGGGACAAAAGTACGTATCGCAGAAGTACGTACAGTATAAAGTACGTATGGACAAAAGTACGTCAGGGACAAAAGTACGTATCGCAGAAGTACGTACAGCATTAAGTACGTATGGACAAAAGTACGTCAGGGACAAAAGTACGTATAGCTAATGTACGTAAGGTAAAAAGTCAGGGACAAAAGTACGTATCGCAGAAGTACGTAGGGTATAAAGTACGTATGGACAAAAGTACGTCACGGACAAAAGTACGTATAGCTAATGTACGTAGGGTAAAAAGTACGTATGGACAAAAGTACGTCACCGACAAAAGTACGTATGGCAGAAGTACGTAGGGTATAAAGTACGTAAACGTATGGACAAAAGTACGTCAATTACAAAAGTACATATAGCAAATGTACATACGTAGGGTATAAAGGTAAAGACGCAAGGTAAAGACCAAGATACCTTTAAGAAACCTTGGTAAGGTAAGGTAAGGTAAGGTAAAGACCTTGGGCAAGACGCCCCAGATAATTTATTTTGCTACATAGGCCTACCTAAATTTTGTCCTACGTCACCTGGAAGGCCAAATTTGTGCTCAATGTGTTCTTTGGACATTTTACTTTAAATTCCACCCCTCAAATTTATTCACTTATGATCGGACTCCCAGCCAGGAAGTGATTTGTGAAGCAACTGCAAATGGGGCATTTGCCCCAACCCCAGGGCAAAACGCCCCACAGCCTGAGGCAAGATGCCCCATACTCTAGAGTCTAGCTTAAAGATTAAACATGGTAGTTGGCTAAATCTTATATGAGAGGTCCGTTAGACCGCTGGAGGCACGGCACTGAAGTTAGCACCTTCCATCCTATCAGGTGTTCAGCTATGCCACTATTGTATGAGCAGGTTTTTCACGTGCCTCATGAGGCCAAATAATAAATTATTGCAATGCAAATCAGTTAACAATACACTTCCTTTGCCATACAGTTGCTGAGAAAAATACATATAAATGCATAGAAACTTGCTGTTCGCATTAGGAAGTGGGTACTCCGAACAACACATGCGGGTAAAACGCCCCATGGGGATTTTTGCCCCGCGACCTACTGGGGCGTTTTACCCCATCACGTAGTTCGGTCAGCGAACAACGCCTTGCGCTCCAGCAAGACATAATTTAACACGAACCAACCCGGCATTATAAGCGTTAGACAATAGTTATTCAAAATACATAAAAGTCGGTAACCTGATGTGGACTACAAAAGAACGCGATGATGCATAATCAGATGACCAAACATAAAAATCACTCAAAAACACATTTTTGGCTATATCTCCCTAGAGAGCTATCACAATTTTTTTCCAGCCTGCTCATATAATGATCATATAGTGCACGTTTAACAGAAGAGAGGATCTTTCCCCAGAACCCTGTTAGTTCGGAGAAACATCGGTGAGGCCGCCAGGCGTTTTACCTCGGCGGGGCGACTTGCCCCGGTCTACCCTACGTGTGGACCAAAGTACGTCACGGACAAAAGTACGTATAGCAAATGTACGTAGGGTATAAAGTACGAACCCCACCCATGGGGTAAATTGATCAATGTGTAATACCTTTCTTATTATTTATTTAATGAGCATTTGATACAAGGCATAGCAAAATTTCTCGATGAGTAATGGGCGAAAGGGACAAAGCTATATTATTTGGTATATGAATTTGTCATGAGTTCCCTGTAGTATGGCAACAGGGCAGCAATAAACAAAAATTGGCTCAACTTGCACTACTATACCCTACTTCTAGCATACGTACTTAATACTTATACACTACGTACTTTTGCATACGAACCGTACGTACTTTTGGCATACGTATTTTTTACACTACGTACTTTTGCATACGAACTTTTGCGTACGAACATTTGCGTACGTACTTTTGGCATACGTACTTTATACACTACGTACTTTTGCAAACGTACTTTTGCGTACGAACATTTGCTTACTTACTTTTGGCATACGTACTTTATACACTACGTACTTTTGCATACGAACTTTTGCGTACGAGCATTTGCGTACGTACTTTTGGCATACGTACTTTTTACACTACGTACTTTTGCATACGTACTTTTGCGTACGAGCAGTTGCGTACGTACTTTTGGCATACGTACTTTATGCACTACGCACTTTTTCATACGTACTTTTGCGTACGAACATTTGCGTACGTACTTTTGACATACGTACTTTATGCACTACGTACTTTTGCATACGTACTTTTGCGTACGAACATTTGCGTACGTACTTTTGGCATACGAACTTTAGCGCCTACGTATATTTGCGTACGAACATTTGCATACGTACTTTTGTCCTACGTACTCTAGCGATACGTACTTTAGTTCTAAAATCATTTAGCTGACTTAGCACTTAACAGGTTAGCTCCGTCAAACTCCTCTGGAGTCTGCACTCTAGCAGTTTAGCTTTATCTAACTATTCACCGTTCCATGCTTCTATCCTCAGGATACCGAAATCCTTCTCCTCCACACCGCCACCCCCTTCCGGGCTGGACAGGCAACTTTATCTCATGCGGGCTGCTCCCTTGGAGCGGCACCGCTGCTCCCGAGGGAGCGAACCCCGTAGCCGGGTGCAGTGAGTGCCTTGGGGCTGGGTGGCCTGTCTTCGGACGGGTTCAGCCCCGGCGACTCACTAGGGTGCCTGCCCAGACCAATGTCTCCCCCTATATCCTATCATCCTCCCGGCTCTGAAATGGTCTTACTGGACCGAAAGGGCCTAACCCAACAAAACAAACAAAAACAAAAACTAACTATTCCCAGGAGTCAGAGCGCACCTATTATTCTCCTAGAAGCCCTTAAAAGATTAGGCTAGGTTCCGAGATGAACGGTCTTCCGGTCAGTGGTCACCATCATCCGACCTGGCTAAGTAGCTTCTCCAGAGCAGGCCCTGACCGTTCGCGGGGCTGGGTGACGTGACCTGTCCCTCGGCCACCGGAAGCTGCATAAGGCCTGTGGAACTCTTCCTAACGCAGGACGACTTGCACACACTCAAACAACAATCCTGGAGACACCACAGCAGCGTGTCACTATTTATTACCAGAATACGTGCACACATGGCTTACGAGCTACGACGAATTCATCTACCCTCAATGTCACCCATAGATGCCTTTCAAGTTTAACAAGCGCCTGTTGACGGGTACTACTTCCTTACACCAGGGCAATAAATGCAGTCGTGCGCTACAGCATTCAGTATATTTTATCTATCAGGTGATCTCTGAGCATACCTAACCACTGAGACAAACTGACACATTGTGACACACATTGACACACTGTTCACCGATGTGCATTACCTATCCACGCAAAGTGCACACTATTTGTCTCTCAAGTAATTCAGAGTGTCAGGATACATCGTTACATATGTAGGAACCATTCTTCGTAAAATGGCTCGCGCTACGTAAAATAGCTCACATTTCCTCACAGTCGAGTCTTGTTTCCTTCCGATCTGTACGGTAGAGGTCCGACACTCACCAGGGAGCGGAATATTGGACGGCTGAAGGGGAGCCTCATTGGAGGTAATAAGTAAAAAAACGAGCCTTTAGCGGCGGCAGCAGCGTCAATAATTACAATAGCCGATGCACAAGCTTGGTGGTGCTTGTTGAACATTCTGTTTACATTTCCCCCGAAAAATATAATAAAAAATCGATTCTTATTTTTACTGACCACGGCAACAAAAGCGTAGTGTTCTATAAGGGCTGAGAGAATGACGACTATGACGCACGATCCAAAGGTCTGGACCATTAGTAAAATAGTTTCAGTCATCAGCCATCAGTACGTACGATAAAATACTATAAATGGTGTGATTCACGCTATTCACAGCTCCACAAATACCTACTCTTTTAACGAAGTGGTTCTTAGGACAACGAGCAGGTGTCTCACATATCCCATGACTATTTATAGACGAATATCTAGACAATCAGAACATGCCAGCAATGCCTCCAACAAGTCCAACATATACAATGATACACTGATGTACTGGTTACTGGTGCAAGGAACTAAACAATAAACATTCGAAACGGAAAACAATTAGTGTTATTGTTAAATTAGAAACATATGGGACACAGTATAACACCGCCTCGGCCGGCGAGTGTGCCTTTCAGAGGCTGGTAATGTATCAATACTGTCACTGGAACTGATGCGATGGGGATCTCACATTATCTTCCCGGCGATCAGTAGTGACAGAGACCATCGACACCTGATAGTGACACGAGCACGCCTGACACCGAACATGACACCGACCAATGCTGTCAGCTGACAGTTACACCGACCGAGCGGTGTCAGTGCCTCGGGCGGTACTCCGGTGCACTTGCACCTCGTACATCGGGTGTACCGGGTGTACCGGGCGGTGTACCGTGGTATTACCGGTAATACGTGTACATACCGGCGGAGATGGCCATCAGCACCATGGCCAGCACGTTTACGATCCTGAAATCAGAAACGGTCATTGGCCAGGGCGGTGGTAAGAAGTGTCCCATCGCCAATTGCATCGAAATCTCGCCTGTAACTATGAGAAGCTGAGATTGGGAAGATATGCAAATCCAACGATTTCATAAATTGATAATATACGATGCATCTTCAGAGATAACGTTTGATTAATGTGCATATTCCTGGCATATTAGAAGGACCAAAGTGACATGTCGTCATTATGAATCCTGTCCCGGTACGACAAGCAACAGCACCTGTCGTCAAGTTGAGCTCTGGAAGCACTTTACAAGGATGATTAATCTCATTAACTTTCAATGTCAAATAGAATCGCACGCTGAAGTGAATCTCCTTACACTTTTTGTCTGGGGTGTTCGAGCAGCGAGTCGGCGTCCATTTTAGCCCGCTCCACGTCGGTGAGGTGCCCGAAGGGGTCGTCGGCGGCCGACTCGCCCATGGCCGCACCCTCGGCCACCCCGCACAGCTTGTTGAAGATCTTCCTGCCCAGAGACGGCGTGGCAGGCGGCTCCGGCGGCTCTGGAAATGGCAGCAGCATAATTGAGCGATTATTTGCGATTATGTTTAGTACTAGGATGGGTCAGTGGATACGTCTGGTATTTGTGCTTACAGAATTGGAGTAGGAAATCCCCAACTATCGTAGATTGATCATTGCGGAGCGGCTCAGCTCAGAAGCCATGAAGATTGAGGAATGATGCTAGCTAGATGGTACTTTATGTCCTTATCTGAGTCTTTGTGAGCGTAATCATGGCATTAACGCCTCTTCGCTACACAGGGATCATAGTTCTTAGATGCACTCTATCGCCCACGCCCCGCACTAAAAGCATGTCGCGCTTCATGATGTGCCGTTCGTTTCACTGTCCCTGGAGCTCGAGTACGGCTTTAGAGCGGTGCATCGAAACCCAAGTGAACGTACCTACTTACATCGCCAAAAATGGTAAAGGAACAACATTTTTCATAAGATCAGCATAGCAAGATGCTCAGGTACCATCATGTGTTTCAATTCGCCCTTTTAACCCTCGCCCATGCAGGAGGGGTTTCGTAGGTGGTGTTTGTAGGTGGTTGGTGCAACAACCCCCCCCCCCCCCTGAGGTTTTTCTTAGCTACACGCCGAACCGTTTCAGATAGCCTGCTCAAATTTTCAGTACCCTCTGGGGCATCCTTTGCGCAACTTTTGGTATTTTTTGTCAAGGTCATGTCAGGTCACGGAGTTATGACGTCATAAAGGGAACAACCTCCGGCCAGATTTACGCTAAATTGTAGATTGCTTCACATTGGTATAAATGCCGACTGACCTGACACACTGATGGATTGTTTTAGAATCACAACTGGCTGATTCGACATTGGCACAATGTCCGTTAACATTTTGAAGGTCAATAAAGGTCAAGGCGAGGTCAGTGACCTCGGTTGACCTGTAATGACTTCTTGCACTTGTATGCCTTTTCGGGGTATTTTGATGCCCTGAATTCGAATTTGCTATTCATTTCAGGCATCGTCGGTTGTATCTTGTTGTTCATTTTGGGTCAGGGTCAGGTCAGTGACGTCACACGCCTGACGTGACCCAATGCACAAATGACCTTGCAGACTTCCGATGCTCCCAACGCATCATTTTTAGAGTTATGACATCGAAATACACACCAAACGATAGAGAATTGATCAGGGATCACGATAGTGAAGATTTCAAGTCGATATCTCTTACCGTTTTGCCGCAATCGGCGCGGAAATCTGAAAAAGTTAGCTTTTTCCGAAAATTTGACCTATGACTGGTCATAATAGGTCAAATGTTGACCTAGGACCAAAAAATATACCACCAATCGCGAGATCTCGTTGAGAGCAATCCGTTGGTCTTTTCCGCTAAGCTCTACGACGCTCTGTTTTCAAACGCCAGGGGGGGTCGCACCAACCCCCCCCCCCCTGTATGGGCGAAGGTGGCAAAACACCATTTACGGGCGAGGGTTAAAACAAGCAGTATCATTGTAGCTCATGGAGCCGCTTCTTATAGCCGCTCTAACCACTCTCACTACAGAGGGTGTAGATCAAGCGACCTGAGCTCTGAAGGAAGCAAATAACTGTGTTGGAGGTAATGCGTCTTTTAACCGTCTCGTCTCGATAAGTTATCGAATGTGAGTCTTTGAGTGGTTGTAACATACCATCCTGGAGTTGAATTTCTTCAACGAAGCGCTGTTTGGCAGACTCTGATGGCAGTGGCATCCGCGGCTCCTCGCACCGGCGAGACCAGAACGTCAGACGCCGCAGCTGAAATAAATGTAAATCGGTTATAAAAAAAAACTGACATAAAAATAGATCGTTGATACATCGCGATTAAATAACAGTTGTAATTTCAACCACATTCGGCACGAAAAAAAAATAAAAAAGTTACTTACGCACTCTCACTGGCACTTAAAACACGCACCAGTTTTCTTTTTTCAGTGTTTTACCAAATGCAGACGCACCATTCCAATTCCTTGCCTGAGGTCCAGTCATTTGCCCACCCAAGGAATTGGCGCGTCTCTGCACGCAATAGGTTTCCACTCCTTCCTTTACGAGCCGAGGTTGTGGAAACCTAACAGGTGAGTTTAACAGGTGAGTTCCCCGGGAATGGGCTCTGTGAGTTACTTACGCACTCCTCGGGAATGGGCTCTGTGAGTTACTTACGCACTCCTCGGAAATGGGCTCTGTGAGTTACTTACGCACTCCTCGGGAATAGGCTCTGTGCACAGTGAGATGACCACCGAGGCGACCAGCACGATCAGGAACAGAATGCAGCCGAAGTGGAGGAAGTGGATGTCGAATATCGCCCGCTTCACCCACTCGGGACGGGTGTCCTCCAGTTCTGAGGGCGGCAGACGAGAGAGAAGTCAGCAGTGAAACAGGAAACATAAAGCGATATCAGTATCACCAATATCAGTAATCAGTATCAAATAATGCTTCGACAACACTCCACTGATATTAATATTATACACAGCACCCACCGAAGGGGACGGGGATACAACCTCGTGCACCTGTGGATGTCCCTCATCATCATCATCATCAGCGCTTCACTAAAATTTTTTTATAAAATTTTAGCTTACCGTGATAGGAGCTTGAAATTTTGCTCTAGCCTGAAATATGCTTTCTTTACTACATATCCCCTAATCCTACGAAGTCCAATCGGAACGTTCTTCCACGCAGCGCACGTCCCGGGGATATCCTCCAGTGCCGCGAGGCAGTCTCTCGCCGCGCTGGTGTAGTGCGGTACAGTCTACCTCCCTGGGTGTGTGTTGCGGCACAGTCTACCCACCCGAGCTGCTGCGTCAGCCGCCCGAAATAGTCGCGGCTAGACGCGACACGGGCGGCAGTCGTACGTTAGCCGTGACGCGTCGGACGGACGTGACGTGACGTCTCGATGGATAGCTCCACGGACATTGGTCGCGGAAGTCGGCCGGCGGATGCTGTTCTCAGCAGTGTGACGTCATAGAACTGAGTGCACTAGAACGGACTGCCGCCGCTGGGTTTCCGATCGAGTGCAGAGATGACTAGTGCGTCACCTCAGTTTAAGGAAGACCTAAATTTAGCCAGGATGAGCGAAAAACATCCGGAAGACCCAATACGGTAATTTCAGTGCTGACTGCTGGCAGGCACCATCGAGTGCAAGCCTGTCATTTACATGAAACAGTGTAACATGTTTCCTTCTCTATTTTCTCATAAAATTTAGACATGCTCCCGATGATAAGAATTCCCAATTTACCCGTGTACGGAAAATGTTTACATCATCCTTCCTCAGGCTACAACAACCCTCCTCACGCACGCAGCACACCCTCGATTCTCTTCCATCCGAGGTCCATGACCTCGATTACCACCGTAAGTCTGTGAGATCACGCACGTGGTGGTCCAGTCCCCGCCAGTGGGTCGCTCCCGCCTGGTGTTTTTGTGCGTGAGCAGAATTCCAGTCTGTGCCACACCTTCAGACGCCCCCCCCCCCCCCCCACCCCACCCCACCCCCAGCCAGACAACAATGGGGCGAGACGGGGGCGTGTCGGGCGCCGCATGCGCCGGATTTGTGCTCACGCGTGAATCCATTATACGTCCGTCCGGGGTTGGGAGGCTCGAGTTTGAAGGCTAGGTCACACAGAGTTCCTTGTTTACAGAGATTTAATTACATTGTAGGTATAATGCGCACGTTTTTTTTTTACTAGACAAATTTAAATAATTTCCTTTGATCGCACAGCGATATGAAGCGAGCTGTAAATCAGACATGGTACTAGAAGTCCAGCCCATGGCGTTATTCTGTCAATTTTGTCAGCCTGCTCGAAGCGGGCCCACAGGACGTCCGGTCCAGCTGACGTGAGACCCGGCATCCGCGCCGTCCTTTGGTGGCCAGTTCCGGGGTCGATAGAGCCGCTGATGTCACGCCGGTCCTCTGAGTCACGTGGTATCGGTATATGACGTGTGATGATGGCCCGGACTGAGTCACGTGGTCTATGTGCATGATTATGATGGTAACCTAAGCTGAGTCACGTGGTATCACTACATGACGTGTAGTGATGCCGATGATGGCCAGGGCTGAGGTTACGTGGTGTAATGGATTCATATCGGGCGAACTGGGTGACGGTGGGCTCATCCTCCGTTTTTCTCATGCTTCGGCAGTGGATGGACTGGACAGTACCTGCGTACATTCACTGGAGGTTTTATAATTCCAATACATACTTTATTGCTTAGAACACAAATACAACAGCACTAGTTTTTAGCCTCAACAAGCAACATACATCTTTTTTAGTTTCGGCGAAAGTCCTTCCCGTAACATATCTACTCTGCGTGCACAGTTGAAGCCGTTTTATAACTGTATAGCTAAAATGGACCGGTAAGCAGACAAGATAAGCTTTAGTGGGCTATGCCTATGTAATTACCGGCACATGACCAGCCATTTGATGCATGGACGTTTCATGTGGAAATTGTCTTGATTAGGTCACTGGGTGTATACTGTATAAGTATAGGCCACCTGAGTGCACTGAGCAGTCGCTTTTATTCGGCCTTCCAGCCAGGTAAGTACGTCGCACGGGTGTCTATGTATTACAGCACTACTGTTACAGCCTGTATGGCACTGCGTCGTCAGACGGTTTACCGCGAAATCACGCCAGCAAGGCATGGCCAATATCGCAGAACTTCGCCGGCATCGAGTACCGAACCTGATACGCCGCGGGGGTCTATCAGTGCGGAATATACGGCGACCATGGTCGCCCCGGCGGTCTGTCCGCAGGCACTCACCGGAGCCACATGGCGGAACGGTGTAGGAGAACTCGATTCCGAAACGGACCATGCCCAGCACCAGTCCCAGCATCATCCCCCAGAAGGCCCCCTGAAACGTCAGGCAGGGGATGAGCCACTCATTTTCACCGAGACATTCTGAAACAGCGGTAAGTTGTGGGGAAACCAGTGACTTTAGTGAAAACGCGGCTGAAATTGCTTCCAAATCAGTGGCGGATCCAAGAGGGGGCCATATGGGTCATGGCCATTGCCCCCCCCCCCTTGGGCCCTTGTGGTGCCCCACGGGGGCACCACAGGCCTGCCAGGGCCACCACCGGCCTATCAATTCCCAGGGGCACCACAGGCCTGACAGGGGCACCACAGGCCTGACAGGGGCACCACAGGCCCGCCAGGGGCACCACAGGCCCGCCAGGGGAACCACCGGCCTCGCAGGGGCACCACCGGCTTCGCAGGGCCCAGGGGCACCTTGGGCTTATCAGGGGCACTTCAGGTTTGTCAGGGGCACCACAGTCCTGCCAGGGCCCAGGGGCACCAGCGGCCTAGCAGGGACACCACAGGCCCGCCAGGGGCACCACAGGCCCGCCAGGGGCACCACCGGCCTCGCAGGGGCCAGGGGCACCACCGGCCTCGCAGGGGCCAGGGGCACCACCGGCTTCGTAGGGCCCAGGGGCACCTTGGGCTTATCAGGGGCACTTCAGGTTTGTCAGGAGCACCACAGTCCTGCCAGGGCCCAGAGGCACCAGCGGCCTAGCAGGGGCACCAAAGGTCCGCTAGGGGCACCACAGACCTGCCAGGGACACCACAGGCCTAGCAAGGGCACCGCAGGCCTGCCAGGGGCACCACGTGCCTGTCAGGGCACCTCAGGCTTGTCAGAGCCCAGGGGCACCACAGTCCTTTCGAGGGCACCACAGGCCTGTAAGAGGCACCAGAGGTCTAGCAGGGGCACCACAGGCCTCGCAGGGGCACCTTGGGCCGTCAGGTGCACCACGTGCCTGTCAGGGACACTTCAGGGTTGTCAGGGGCACCCCAGTTCTGTCAGGGCCCAGGGGGCAGGGAAAAAATAAAAACAGGAAAAAACTAAAAAATAGGGCCCCACCAAAAATTAAGTGGCCGAAATCCGTTGAGTTTTTAATTTTGGGTATAGGTAGGGTGCCCCACTTCGATTCATGACCCCTCCCTTGGAGTTTTTCTGGATCCGCCCCTGTTCCAAATAACATGTACACTTTGGCTTTGCGTTTTGAAAGCTGACCTTCTTTTATATTATCGCCTTCGAGAAGCCTCACGATTTCATACCGCTACCAACTCTAACACGGACGAAGTGCGTCTTAAAAATTATCTAAGCTTTTTCGTTTTCAATGTCAAAACATTAGCGTTGTCTGCTTTGCCAGCGTTGGAAAGGGAAGATGGGGTATGCCATGCACCGTTCTTTTTTCTCCTAGCTCGAGGCACACTCGAGTAACTGCGTAAATATCCTTTCATACATGCTCGAATCTCAGTCCTGCTTGGATCCACGTCTCATCACCTGTTTAAGTTGAGTCTGACTGACGCCTCACCTGTTCATTAGCTCTCGGCCAGAAGACGGCCAGCAGGTAGATAGCGCAGATGGGCGGCGCCAGGTAGGCGGTGATGCTCTGGATGTAGACGAACAGCTGGCTGGAGGCCGACGAGTTGATGATCGGGATCCAGACGATCGAGACGGCTACCATGAACACGACGAACACCCTGCCGGCGATGACCTGCTCGAGCTCGGAGGCGCGCGACCGCAGCCGCGTGTACACGTCGATGGTGAACAGGGTGGAGGCCGAGTTGAAGATGGACGTCAGCGAGGACATCAGCGCCGCCAGCATCACTGCCAGCATCAGACCCGACACGCCTGCCGGGGGGTGGACCCGCTTCAGAGGGGAGGCTGACGGGTCTGGAAATCACCGTTCATCTGACAAAATAAGATCCTCCTCGGAGCCCAGTGCGATGTAAACTCAATTCACATGCATGTGTGATGTCGAGGTGTCTGGCACTCACAACTTCTCAACTTCTAAACTTCTTCTCAGATATGTCCTCTCAACTGAAGACATATCCTCCGTATACCCTTGGTGCCCTTCACGGCCCCTCCCGCGCGTCTGAGGCTCTGCGCTCCCCCAGGTCCGGCACTCACCGACGGGCAGCAGGTTGAGCACCAGCTCGATGTACGCCAGGTTGGAGCAGCCGGTGGGCGAGCCACAGATGCGCTGACAGGCTTCCGGCTCTGAGCACGCCACAGAGTCGGTGTACAGCACGCGCGCCGCCATACCCGGAAACACGAGCAGGTACAGCGGCAGGAACTTGAGCGCGCCCGCCAGCAGCACGCCGCCCTTGGCGTGCACCAGGTTCTTGGCCGAGAGGGTGCGCTGCACGATCACCTGGGGAAGGCGCCCGTGTTCAATCAGCTGGCCGTGATGATCGTTCGCCGAGGGGCGGGACGCTACCGAAATGTGGTCGTTGGTATTCATTGGTCAGACACTGCGATGACGCAGGTGCCAGCCGCAGCTGAATGCATGATGGGGACAATGGGGATTCTGTCATGCATCAGAAATGAGTTCTCTGGATGGGTAGACAGAGGCTGCATCCTGGCTACCGTGTCTTTTTTTAACAAAAGAAAAGAGATCAAAACTTACAACGTTTCTCGCCGACGCACTTTGGACTAAAATAGTGAGCGTTTGGTCAGTGACGGCTGCAGATCCTACCCAAACGGATTACCAGGTCCAGCATTGGCCACCAATGCTCAAAAGTAGGCCCAGTTTTACTCTCAGCACCAGACCACTGACACAGTGACACAGTTGGACCCAGCGGCTCACCTGGTCAGAGCACCAGTACCAGACGGCCGACACGGTCAGGCCGAACGTCATTCCGGGCCAGGGCAGGTCCGACTCGCCCGGTACCGCTGACCTGAGGGATACAATACACATTGACCAGTGGAACGGTGACGGCGGCCGTCCCTACCACAAATTAAGCGTCTGGGCGCCGCAGTCCTAATCAACGTCACTAATTTTGATAAATGAAGCTGTAGTAACTAGGTTCCTCTAGCATCGACGCATGTCGAGAAGTTCACGTTCTTTCATCTAGCAATGAAATGGAATACCACTGCAGTTCAATAAGGAAAATATTTACGAAACATAATGCTTTCCTATTTCTGTCTAACCAATCAGACGGCAATTTACTAAACGACAAGTGAAAGGGGTCATTTGGCCTTTACGCTCAACACCTGTTGCTTTCTACTTTTACTCAGACACACCCTTAGCAGTTTAAAGACCCATTGAGTTCCCGGTCGGCGTTCCAATGTCTGTGGGCGGCGGCGGCGGCGAGCCCGCTGGGAACGGGCCGGCTGACCTGAACAGGTGCATGGCGTCCGGACGGGCGGCGGCGCACGACTGATTGTCGGCGTCGTACAGCGTCACGTTGGCGCTCGGCTCCTTCTCGAAATACTGCTCGATCAGCGCATTGTAGCCGCCGACGGCCACAAACGCTGCCGGGACACGACACGCGGTGGTAAACGAGGTGCCGGACAGAGACTGGACGAAACGGGACCGGGAGGAAAATGGGCCAGTGAAATACTGAAGTAAGAATGATTTTGTCGGACTTGAATATTTTGTATCCCGGCATCTTTAGTAACATAAATATAAATGCTCCTAGAATTTCAGAAATGACGTTAATAGTAATACTTTGTTTTAAATTCCAGCTTATCAATGTGAATGTAAAGATAAATAATGTTTTTTGAGCCATTTATCATGGCTCAAAAACCCAAAGAATCCAAAGGACATGGCGTGCGGACTCACACATGACGCAGAGTATCATGGATCCGGCGATCATGAGCACGGTCTGCACGGCGTCCGTCCATATGACGGCCGTCAGTCCGCCGAAGATGGTGAACATGGCGGCGATCAGCAGGAGCACGATGATGGCCAGGTAGAGGCCCAGGTCGCCCTCCCACTGCATGGCCCGCTGGATGAACAGCGCGCCGGCGTACAGGTCCGCCTGCACAGGGGAGGAAAGGTCAGCGGGACTGGGGAGAGAAGGGTTATCAATAGGGAGAAAGGGCGGCAGGGTCAGAGGAAGGCTTAGTGAGACGCAGTAGCGGCGGGACACCTTCAAATAAGGGGGGCACTGCCGATTTTTGGTCCCATTCTTTCCATGCAACGCCCATAGGGCTAATGTTAAAATTCCAAAATCAAAGGGGGCACGGTGTCCCGGTGCCCTCCCCGTTCCGCCGCCTATGGTGAGACGGGAGACAGAGTAGCTTCCGATGGATAACAGACGTGATGAAAACCCTACTTTTATTCCGAAGAATGTGCCATGCTCACGGTAAGTCACCGTAAGCTGCTACATTTTTGCAATTGTTTTGCAGCATGACGATGCGCAAGGTGCGTTGACAAATCTTCAATCTTCGTGGTTTTTGATATGCAATGATTTCATCTCACCAGATAGCTGCGCCATATCCCCTTCTTACCCTAAATGGCTCCACTCTGCAGGCAACTGAAAACTCACCGAGACCTTGGTGAAGATGTAGAGCAGAATGGCGAGCACGGATAGGTAGACTCGGATGCGCTGGCCGCCGAACCGCAGTCGGAGGTACTCGGGCATGGTGTACACTCCAGCCGCCGTGTACACGGGTACGAACGCCCAGCCCAGGAAAATGAGCACAAACACCGCCTAAGGGCAGACACGCGAGAGGTGGTTATCAGTCGTTATCAGTCACCTAAACAAACGGTACACCACTGCGCCTGTCAGCATACATCGGCCAATAGCCATCAGGCCACGCAACGCCTGTCGAATTCCACAGAGAAAGCCTCTGCCTAAAAGATGAGGAAACTGCTGTAGATGCCAGGTATTTTTGAATGCAATGAGCCCTTCATCTATCTGGTATCCTCATGTAAGGATGAACTGTGAGCGACCTTTACGTTTCAATGCGATAACTGGCTGCCAATCACGGGCGTAGGAACGTCATGAAAAGTGGGCGGGCCACCCTGTCAAGGGGCCTCCTTTTCCAGGGGGCCTCCTATTTTCAGGGGCCTCCAACTTTTGCCTCGTCCTGCTGGCTGCTTTCAAGTATGACCTCCAAATCTAGCTTCTGAGATCGGGCAGATGTACCCAGGGGCGTAACCGCTTAAGCGAACAGTGCGGAAAGTCCGCACCATTTTTAAAACTTATTCCCCCTCCGATTTTTTTTTAGAATCTATTTGCCGCAAACGGCGCATGACCCCTGAAAACCCTTACACAAATGTCTTCCTCGTTTCCCAGGTGCCCCCATTAGCTTCATAGGCGCCCTCTTTGGCATATAAGCGCCCTATGTATAGTCATCAGAGACATCCCTATATGTCCCACAGTCCGTTGTCGTTGTCCCCGTTGTCGCATACAATGTGTGCTTATCATAGGCGTCTCTCTTTTATGGACACTTGAAGGCGCCTCTCTTTGCCATGCCGGCGCCCCTGTTTCTTATGAATGCACCCCCATGGCATTGATCAGTTGCAGTCTTGCAGACCTCTATTGCACGTAGGTGCCCTTCTGTCTCCGAACCGCTCCCCTTTGGCATGCAGACGCCCATCTTTCGTACGGAGGAGCCGCTGTGGTTCTTATTAGAGACGGCATGGTGCTCCCAGACGCAGATGGGGCTGTCGGAGTCGACAGTGTGGGACCTTCAGTCGCTGATGGGTGCCCGCCAGATGTGGACCCTCGGAGACGCCGGTATGGGGCCCTCAGAGATGCCGGTATGTGGCCCTTAGAGACACCGGTGTGGAACCCTCAGATACTTCAGTGTGAAGCCCTTACAACTGCTGGTGTGGAGCTATGAATGCGCTTGCTTAAATCCCTCAGAGGCCGGTAGGTACATGGACATTAGGGCTCAGTGAGAGCTTGTGTGGTGCCTTCAGTGGCCTTAAGACATCAACATGGTGCTCTCAGGAGCCGGTGAGTCCTCAGAGTCACCGGTGTGGGGCCTTCAGAGCTCCGAGACACTGGTGTGGGGCCCTCAGAGGTGTCGGTGTGGGTCCTTCAGATGTACAGGTCTCGCGAGATTAAGCGGTAGGTTTTGAACTTTTACATTTCCGGTTATATCTCAGAAACTAATCGATCTACGATGAAGCCATTTTACACGGTCATGGCCGGCTTGTTACCCAACAAGTCGATCGCATCTTCAACACTTAAAAGCTTAAGACGACGAAGATATAGCCTGAAGTACACTAAATTTTCTAGGTGCAAAACCTACCGCTAAAACCTGCGAGACCTGTACCTGTAGAGTAGGGTGTGTCACTAGAAACAGATCAAGCGCTTCCGCTGATTTTCCTTGTCCCTGTGTCTATGGAAGCCCATTGGTGCAGTTCTTTTTCCCATGCATCGAAAATTCGATCGGCGCCGGCTGAATGAAGTTCGGGATTTACCGTGGCGCTCGGCGTTGCAGTCTCCATGTTTGGCGTAATGCGTTTGATGACACTAACACCAGCCGCGCGCGTCTTCGCCTGTTAGCGTCGACAGACGCTGTCAATACGGATGTAAGCAATGCAAACGAGGCAGTATCCTCTATTTAGACAACGGTTACACAGAAAAGATGCATCTTTGCCATTCAATAGCAAACTGAATTCAACTCAATTAGCATTTGCCTACCTTGCATGGTTCAGGGGACCGATTTTCTTGCAGGCCTCCTTTGCGGAGATGTTGCCCGTCCGCACGGCTCTGGCGAGCTGATACAGCAGGAGTTTGCCGCTGCTGAGGTCGGCGATGATGTTGTCCGGCAGATCCAGCTCTGGGCCGCTCACCGGTCGGAACTTCACGGGAGAAAGACGGTGCACGGAGGCGCCGGCTGCCTTGCCCAACGGCCCCGTGAATGATCCGGGTCCACTGATTTTGGCGTCCAAGTTCTGGAAAACTTCCCTGAGTACAAACTCATTCGAGTGCAGCTGGCAGCTTGTCTCATCCGGCATCTTTCTCTCCATACTTTTTCGGGTCGACCAGCAATTCTGTTTTGCCGCTCGCTACGCGACCGACATCCATCTAAAAACCATTGATGACGGCCGCTACAGCACGGTTGGATAAGCCATACCTGTCAGTCAGCTGCCAGTGCAGTGTTTGTCATATCATCATCATTTGAGTCTTTGATGCATTCCTTCACCTCAAATTCACTTGTGACGTCTTCATTACTGTCGTTGGTGTCGGTCGTTGCCGACGAGTCTACCTGGCCTGTCTCGTCGATATTGACGCCGTTGGAATAGGTACGGAAGTGGGAAGGACCAGCTTGACCCACGTCGCCCCTCCCCTCGTTCCGCTCCCGTCTCATTCTAAGGCTCGCAGTCTTACGTCGTTTCCTCGTCTCCTCTCGTAGTCCACACCAACCAGTCTCATCTTCCAAACTCCTCTCTGGTCTCGAAGGAATGCTATTTCCGCTGGCGGTACCCGGTTTGAAAGCGGACAGGTACAGCTTCGCCGATCTTTACAGCGGCAGCGGGCGATGTCAAAAAGCTTACGAAACAGACTCGCTTCACAGACACTTTGTTTCGTTTGTCCCTCCCACATTCTTTCGGACACCTTGTTCGATCGGCGAAATCTTTCGTAGACTTGCTTTACCTTCCGAACCACATTGTGCATTTGTATCGATGGTATGCTCTCACTCGGCCACATTGCAACCACCGCTTCCGCTGCTTCACGTAAACATGCAGTGACTGTCCGATCACTTTTTCTATCCTCTGCCAAGAGCCTCACATAGTTCAATACATCTCTGTTGGTAGGCAGCTGATTTACCCGCAGCACACTGGGAGACCCGATAACAAAATGTTTCGCCTTGCTTCCCCACGGCATCACTGCGGCACGGATAGTCCGATTCGAGTGCACCACACGCACTTCTGCTCACGCCGCAGCTGAAACCAGACTGACTCACGTTCTTTGCAAGCTCGTGTGTCTCGGAGAGACAGCCCATGACTCGAAAGCCGACACATTGTGTTGCCGACGGAGGGGTGATACCCGAGACCCCGCTCACGTTGCCCTCTGTCCATCCGTGCTCTCATTCTCCCTGCCCCACTCGTGATAGTCTTGCCAAGGCTGCAGCGTGATCCTATTACATAAAGTAGCGGCAGAACACCTTCAATTAAGGGGGGGGGGGCACTGCCGACTTTTGGTCCCATTGTTTCCATGCAACGCCCATAGGGCTAATGTTAAAATACCAAAATCAAAGGGGGCAAGGTGCCCCGGTGCCCTCCCCGTTCCGCCGCCTATGTCCTATTATATGGATCATCTGTGGGTCCCTGAATGGCCTCAACACATTAAGATAACAGTATGTTTCGTCCGACGTCCATTTAAACAAGAAATAGCAATCGAATCTTAACCGTCAAACGGTGTTGGCCGCTACAGGCCGACGGCGAGTCATATGGCTGGTGTTAGCGCTACAGTACGCATTGTGTTCAGTATGGAGACTTCAACGCCGGGCGCCACGGGAAATGTCGAAATTGATTGGGCCCGCGCCGCCTGAATTTTCGGTGCAGCGAAAAAAGAACAGTGCCAATGGGCTTCAATGAACCCAGGGACAAGGAATATCCGCGGAAGCGCTTGATCTGAGACAAAAATATTTGATATGACACACCCTACAGTGTAGAGCCTTGAGATGCACAGGTGTGGTGGCCCACAGAGGCGCCGGTGTGGGGCCCCGAGAGCCACCGATGTAGGGCCCTAGGAGACACTAGTATGACCCTCAAAGGCGCCGCTGTGTGGCGCTCATAAACACTGGTGGGGAGCCATCACAGGCGGGTGGAGCCGTTAGAGGCCGGAAAGGGCCCTTAGATGCCTACAAGGAGCCTTCAGAAGCCCTTATGCCACCCTTATGGGGATAAGCGTATCTACTTAGGAGCCCTTGAGGTGCTCTCATGAGCTCTGTGGGGCCTTACCGAGCCGAAATATGGCCACGGTCAGTTGCCGCCGCATGGCTCTTCGGACTATCATTCTCAGGGGCCTCATCTGTCTATGTAGTTTGAATAGAAGGGCCTCTCAGACCATCAGTCTCATGGGCCTCCTCTGGCTAGTATAAATAGAAGGACCTGTTAGACCATCAATCCTAGGGGCCTCCTCTGGTTAGCATAAATGGAAGAGCCTATCAGACCATTAATCTCTGGGGGCTCCTGTGGACAGTATAAATAAAAGGGCCTCTCAGACCATCAGTCTCGGGGGCCTCCCTAGAAAAGTGTAAATGTGGATAGAGGGCCCCCTTAGATTCATTAGGAGTGGACCTCTCTGACTACCAGTCTCATGGGCCTCTCGTGGCCAGTATGAATATAAGAGCCTCTCAGACCATCGGTCTCAGGGGCCTCTTCTGACTAGTGTGGATAGAGGGCCCTCCCAGACCATCGGTTTCAGGGGCCTCCAGTGGCCAGTTATATGAACAGAGGGGCCTCACAACCATCAGCCTCGGGGGCCTCTTCTGACTGGTGTGAATATGAGGGCCTCTCATACCATCAGTCTCAGGGGCCTCTTCTGCCTAGTGTGAATATAAGGGCTTCCCAGGCCATCAGTTTCAGGGGACTCTTCTGACTGGTGCCGGATTGAGGGACCTCCCAGACCGAAAGTTTTGGGGGTCTCCTGTGGCCAGTATGAATAGAAGGGCCTCTCAGTCAATCAGTCTCATGGGCCTCTTCTGCCTGGTGTGATTATAAGGGCCTATCAGGTCATCAGTCTCA